TCAGGAAATGCCCTATAATGCTGTATTACTTAAAATTTTATGCCATGTATAGTTATTGTTGTTACTTCATTTTAGAATTAACCACGGGAAATAGAAACACACAGCTTTTGCCTGAGGTTTATACATTATAATTCCACCTCTTCTTTACAGTGTTACTTATAAAATCAGAGCAATGACAAAGAAAAGCAGACAAGGAAAGGAAACTAATAGCTTTCAAGCATCTCACACAGGACTGTTACGTTTTCTTTCGATTATATAAATTACTTCTCTCAGAGATCAGAAGGACATGGGAAGACACTTCCAATAAACAGAAGAAATGCACTCACTTCCAGCAATTGTAATTAATACCAGCAAGTCTCACACATTAGTTGGCAAAGAGAGAATGATACAGCTTACCATGCAGCTTAACAGACCAAACAAAAACAATTTTCAAAAGAACAGCTTTCTTGAAGAAGTCTAATTAGTAAACAAAAATATTTAGGTGATTCTGATTAATAATTATTCTGATGAATAATGGCTGATTAATACAACTCACTAAAAAATAAAGAAATGCAATAATGACTGTAAGTATTTTGAGTATAAAATTCATGCAAATAATGGATTAGAAACTTTGCTGTTTATGAAAGTAACATCACACAAGGAAAGTTTACAGCAATTTGGGTTTATGTTCTGCTTCTATCTTTTGCAAAGATGAAAATGAGGGTAGCTCGCAGTGTTCTTAATAAGTTTGGCACTATTTCTGTAAGTAGATAAGCTAACACAGATCTCTCCATCTTTACAGTAGTTCAAATACTTACCAGTATGTTCACTTTTAAGAATAAGACCTTATCTGTCTCCAGTCCAAAACTAGTTACAAATTTCTCAGAACTGCATTGTAAAAAGGCAGAACTGATAGTTCAAAATTTGACATAACTTTAAAACAGATGAATGAAAAGATAAGCCTGTTAGCTTATTCTTTTAAGATTTCTATTTAAAAAAAAACACACGACATGGCAGTGAACTAAAAATTAGACAATATTTCCATTGATAGAAGCTTGTAAAGAGTAGCCACTGTGCACAGCAAGATCAAGACAAAATGAAGTATTATTAGATATAATAGTCTAGTGCACTTTAATCAAATTTGTTATACTGGGTACTGCTGAACATGGTGAAATCCCACTGAAAAAACACAAGTCAAAACCTAGTTGCTCTACTGTATTTAAAAGGGTGAGCATTTCTTTGAAGGAGAAAATACAGTAATTTAATGGGCCTGTTGATGTCAGACACACATTATCAGATGCAAGCAATTGCTGCATGACAATGGTTAGAGACCTGTTTGCTGGAGATGTGAGCTGGCCAGGCCTGCACGGTAATCCAGGTACTGAAATTACCTGATACCAAAAAATCATCATCTGTCAAATGAGGGGTTTCTACACTCAACCTTAGAACTGTACCAGCACCATTTCCTATATAAATGGTTGCTGTTATAGCAAAAAATACACATTTGGAGTTATTGTAGCCTTAGCGTTCTGCAGATAAGTACACCATTATGTTTCTCTGGGAAGATTAGGCCTAAAATGCTGTACTTTAGGCTGGAGTATTTAGGATTTTACTCCCTAACAGTATCAAAGCTTTTTAAAAAGAAGATTCTGGGAAGCTTTGGGAGTTTACATTCTTCCCACATCGCTATACCCAATTTTCAAAACAAGATCTTACGGTTTTCCAAACATGCTGTTACCTAGAAGACACGTTAGGTAATTTAAAGAGCCCTGTTTCTTGGCACAGAAAGAAAAGGTACACTGGTGCCTTTTCTCCATGTTTGCTCTTTACATTTCTTCTTGCTCTGTACACAGATATTTCCCCTGTCCCTCCAAAAGATGTGCTGAGAGGTTTATCTCTTGCTTTTTATGAGAAGTTGTATATACACTACCGCTCTCACATTCTGACTCGACTTAGAAAGCGATTTGTTATTGTTGTTGTTGTTATTGTTGCTTTCAAGCAAACTAAACTCAAGGTCGTCTTTTAGCCTGGGAGACTCAAATCTGAATACAGAACTGTTCCGGCCGCGCTCCAGCAGGCTCCTTAAACAGGCAGGTCCCTGTGCCAAAACAAAGCACGGCTCGGCGCCTTGGGTTACAAAAAGGAGGGACTGAGCAAACCTGACTGATTTAAACCCAGCTATTTTGACTCTCCAGATAAACCTGCTGGCACTCCCGTGTCAAGAAGAGGTGGGACGTTTTGCCCATTATTTTACCCATTGGCCAGCAAGTACGACACCAGGGAAAGATTTCTACATGTATATATATATATATACATGTATACACATATATATATGTACACCCCAATACAGGGAGAAACGCGTTACTTTTTTCCCACCCCACAACGTGTCGAACGGACAGAAACGTGTTTATCGTTGTTTTCCGTTCACTCTGCCAAGCCGGGAACGGCAGCGCAGGGCAGGCAATGGGTGCTCGGCACTGCCAGATCGTTCATCCCGCCGGGCGAGCCGCGCAGTTTTCGAGAGCAGCGCCCGCGGTGTGACACGGCACAGACCCGGCTGGGACACCCGGCCCCCGCGCGGGGCTCAGGCTGCCGGGGGTCCCCGGGAACCGCTGCGGCGGGACGGGACGGCGGGACAGCGGGACACCCCCGGGGCCGGCGGGACGGGACGGGACGGGACGGGACGGGACGGGACGGGACGGGACACCCCCCTCCGCCGCCCCGCGCGCCCGGCACGCCGCCCTCACCCGCGATCCTCAGGCAGATCTCCGGCCCGGCCGGGAGCAGCTGCCGCCGCTGCCCCTCAGCCGCCGCCGCCCGCGGCGCCGCGCCCCGGGTCCTCTTGAGCGCGGGCGGCGCCGGGGCTGCGCGGCGCCGCGCCTCGGCCCAGCTCTTCCGCTTCATGGCGGCGGCGGCCGCGCCGCGCCGGGGCCCCTCATGCCGCGGGGAGCGAGGCAGCGCAGGGACCCCGAGCGGCTGACGCGGCCCGCGGGCACCGCCCGCTCCCGCCCGGCTCGGCCCCGCCCGGCCCGCTCCGGGCCCGCCCGGCTCGGCTCGGCCCCGCCCGCCTCAGCCCCGCCGGCCGCCCCCCGCTGTGTCCGCGCGGCGCTGGCGGCGGGGCCGCGGGTACAGGTGGGCCGGGGGGCCCGGGCCGACCCCCGAGCGCCGCCTCGGCCCCTCCGGGCGCTGCCGTGCGGGGTCACGGCGGGACCGGCACAGCGGGGACCCCCCTGCGCTGCGGGTCCGCTCCCGCCGGGGCGGCCATAGCGCGGCCCGCTGCCCGTCCTGGGGCTTCGCAGCCTTCCGGGTGCCCCGAGCACCGAAAGAGAGTCCCCAAGGACATGATGCTGTAAAGCCAGTCCGGGACATGCAGCCTTCTGGGCTGAAGTGGAAGGTTAAAATAGCTGGGTTTAAATCTGCTTCTTAAGACACAGTGACACTTGAAAACACACAGTTTCTGAAATAGGTGTTGCAATAGATCAAGCTAGTAGTTAAAAGAACTTCTGAAAACTGCTCCCTTCCCTCCTCCCTCTAATTGGCCTTGGTGGAAGAAAGCCCTTGCTGAAGTGTTCTGCTGAGTGTGTGATCAGTGTTTATCACCTATTGGCTTCCACCTTCCAGTGCCTTACGTTTCTTAAGATATTCTTGCTAAATAACACCAGAGACCTAAAATTCTGCTGACACTTCGAAAACCAATTCATGTCACCATCATTGCTCCAATTCATTATGCACATGGGAGTCACTGTCTTGCAGTGAACTTAGTGAAGCTGTGGCCAGACAGATGCAAAATGCAGGGCCTATATATACCATGATTCTCTTCTACCGAATCCTCCTCTCTGTCTTCTTGCCTCTTCTCATTTGTCTGCACTTTGTGAGTCTTTCTGAAGAAGAGATTTTGCTGGGATAATACAGAGGCTGTGATGTGGTTCCTGTCACAGTTGAAATGGTGAGGGTGGATGACTTCAACTTACAGAGCTGTCAAACTACAATTTCATTCCATGCCCTTTTAATAGTCCACCGTTCTTTTAGCTATAGCTAGTATTGTTAAATGTATTTATTAGCAGCAATAGTACTATCACCACTGTATGTTAATTTTACTAAAAACAAGCAGGAAAACAGCTAGCCAAAAACTTCCTTTAAAATCAAAAGCACCCAAGAGAGTGAAATGATTGCAAAACCAAAGTGGAACTAGAGTCAGTGTCCCTGGCTGTGATTATCAAGTGAATGAAGCAGAGTGGAAGCACTACAAAGAAACTGAGTATTCATCAATCTTTCTCTTCAGAAACACATTGTATCAAAATGTGGATGTAATTAATAACTTGCTAAGGCATAGTACCTTTAATAGAATTACATTGCTCAGTATGTTTCTTAAGCAAGCTTTTTCTTATTCATCAAGGAACTCTGCATTTAATTTCACGTGCTTTCTTTCCAGAGCCTGCTCTCGGCCTGCCAGTGACCTTAATGGATGTAGGAACAAACCCCTTCACAAAATGCCATTTTAAAATTGCATTAAAGCTTAAAAGGGGAGAGAATTTTCAGTTAAGTTTATATAGCAGCATTTTACAGAAGGCCAAAGATCAGAAACTGCAGAGGAGGATATGCTCCTCTATAAATCTCAGATGGGTTTTTGTCTTCAAATTGCTAAAAAGAAGTGGCTGGTGGATGAAAGAGGGCACATCTACTTTAATGAAAGCAATAGACTTTGAACATAAACATTTCTAGAAAAATGGATAATATGAAATCTGACAGAACTGCAACCCAAACTGCTGTTGTCCTTAGTTCAGTTGTCTAAGACACAAATAAATAAGGAGAATTTATTCTGAGACCTCTCGCTCTGAGAGAAAGTACATACATCCAGACGAAGAACATTCTGCTGTAAATCTTCCTAGGAAAACACGTAGTTGACTATAGCTTAGTCAACTTGATCAAAACCTGATCAGATGTATGTTTAAGACACATTTCTTCCTGGTCTTACAGACCCACATTTTTGTATGACACAAAGAAGAAATGCAGACAATGGATGATGTATTTAAAATATTTATTTAAAATTATGAAATGTATTTCATAATGTCTGCCAGTGTCAGATGCAAAAGTAGGTATAAGCTTAAGTCCCAGTGTTCAACACTGTGACTTTTCAGGGTATATTTTAATACAAGATTGTCATACGGTGCTTGAAGCTTTAAAACAGTGCTGAGAAGTATTGGATTGAAAGACAGTGTTGATCTGCTGAAGGCATGTTCTTCCTGACCAAAATCAGATTTTTTAGTTTACCGCATCTGGAACAATGATTTTTAAAATATATTAGCAAGCTTGTTTCATGAGACAACAATAATCTCCAGGATTTTTTGCAATCAGCCTCAGTTGTCTTTTAGTTTGTATTATCTTGTACTCAATGGGAATAGCACTTTTGTGTCCGTCTTCAGTGCCAGGTAGTTTATTCTGTGCTCTGATTTTCTAGATAAGGTTTCAGATGTCCTATAAAGACACAAGATTACCAATGCTTGTTGGAATTCACTGGAGAATTGTTCCTGTAGAGCATAAGTTTACAAAAAAGTATATATTATGTCAGTGTCATATGTCAATGATCTGGGGTTTGTTTGAGAAATTCACTGTTTTAACTCCTGCCAGCTGCAAAATTGTATTAATGGGAACATGATCCAGCCTGTTTTTATCGAGGTGCAAAAAATGAACTTCATTGCCTGGAAAGGAATGAGAATAACATGTAAATTACTAAATAAAATATTTATTTATTCAAATATGTAAGCAAATCAAAACAGCATTCTGACTTCCTACTAGTTCTTGTACAAATGTGTACTAGATCTGTAGATTGCACAATATACTGTATTTTAAACAATGACAAATTTTTTTTAAAATTACGTTAAAGAAGCAAGGAACATTGAGGCACCTAACTAGTTTAAATCTGCTGTAGCATGATGTTTCCTAATCACAGAATCATAGAATCATAGAATCACAGAATCAGCTGGGTTGGAAGGGACCTCTGAGAATATCAAGTCCAACCCTTGATCCAACCCCACTGTGGTTCCCAGCCCATGGCACTGATGCCACATCCAGTCTCATCTTAAAAACCTCCAGGGACAGAGAATCCACCACTTCCCTGGGCAGCCCATTCCAATGCCTGATTACCCTCTCTGGAAAGGAATTCTTCCCAATGTGATGACTGTCATGTTGCAGCTCCCCCTTCATGCACTACTCCTCTACTAAACAACATCAGATGCCTCGAATAAAATGTGAAAACAGACTGTAGGTAAACGCCATGATGTCAAAAAACCCCTCCAAATTTCGAGGCAGTTGTTCCATCAGCACTCCAATCAATTTTTGCAGGACCGTGATGAGCTTTGTGCCACCTCTGTGGGAGCTGGGACTAGGCAATGACACTTTGCAGATTCCTTCATGCCACAAAAATCACACAGTTGCACACAAGGCTGTCTCCTCTGAATCCACAGGGACAGCAGGCGAGCTGGCAGCAGACAGCTGAAGGAGAGAGCTGCAACTCTCACACAAAACACAGCAGCTCACCTGGGCCTATGATCAAAGCTCCTCCCTGCTGAGCAGGGTCTCCTTGGAAATCAAAAGCTGGGCCAGTCATTGCTCTCCATATACTCCTGATGCTTCCCAGAAGTGCGTTTGATTTCACATGAGGGCTCCGCACTAAACAAAACCACCAAATATTGTTATCTATAAACACAAAAGTATGTAAGGAACAAGAGCACTGAACAGCTGCTACGAATAGTTTAGAGATTCCTGATTACCAGTATTTTCACAAGAGACAATCTAGTGGGCAACTCACTTTCTATTTACATTGCAATCATACTATTTTATCAGAGCATTCATGTTGTGTTTGTGTAAGTCCAAAGAAGGTGAGAAAATTATTCTTACCTGATATGTTATTACCTTCACCTCTTTTCATGCCAAGCGTTTTATAAATTTCCCTTTGCGGATCTACATACATTTCATGTGTATACCCAGTTAAACTGCAAAAGGGCTGCAAAATATATGCATACACACACACACACACAAAATATTTTTAAGTTTAAGGCAGTAACTGGTTAGGGTCTGCTGACAACAGAAAAAGTACTGATATGCTGCCAACTCCACCCTCCCCCCTCTTATTTGGAAGCTGTGTACTTGTCATGTTAAATTAAAGGCTAAAAATTTTCAGCCTTTATTAAAACAGCTTTTATTAAAAAAAAACTTCCAGTGAAATCAAGAAAAGATGTTTCTTAGAAAGAAAAAGATGTTTCTTAAAAACCTGGTGGTTTTTAAATTGAAAGTTTTAGTTATTTGCTTTACTGATGTAAATTAGAATTGCCTCATGAATACCATCCTTTTTTTCTGTAGTTGCAAAAGACCATCTTTTCACTCAGAGCAAATCCCTCAATACAGACCATTAAGACACAAAAGAGGATACCTTCAATGACTATTTCATTTACCTTGATGTGGTGATAAGATGACTGCCCAATAACTATAAGCCTCACATTTGCTTCCTAGAACAGAACAAGGGTATTGAAGTTGTAAAGAGGAACTCAAGTGTTTCTGCACGACTTCGAAGCATTAGCAGAATCTGGCGTCCTGAGTTAATAATCACAGTGCACTGAGTTAAAATTATTGGAAATTAAAATCACTTACGTGTTCGGAGACTTCACCCTGGCTATCACCCACAGTCAGAAGCAACATTAATTTATTAAGTGATAAATTATTTTTAAAGAGAACCTTTAAATTATAGATGTGTAAACTTTGAGTTTCCTGTAGCATTGGTAGCATTGTCTTTCTGATTGATTGCAATTGATTGCAACATGCTATAATTTTGGAAATTCAAAATTTCCACGCAGTTGCACCTACCTCTAAAGAAGCAGCACGGAAATATTGGTGCCCAAATATCTGTGATTTACATATAGAGACACATATTAATAGATATAACTTGCATTCACACATACTGCTGTCTCTTGCAGGTGCAACATTAGGCCTGAGCCTAAAATAGAGGCCAAAACTTGAGTTCATTAAGATGCCAGTGAAAGCAGTTAATAAAATATAAGGTAGCTTCATTAGCGTGTAATACTTGCCTTTCCCATATAGAATCATTTTGGTTGTTATGAAAAGAAGCCCTCCTAAAAACAAAACACTCACACTAAGAAAAGCATGGACAGATTTCGATTCTCTATCTACATTTATTTGAGGAGTCAAATTAAGAAAATGTCACTTCGAGTAACACTGGTCGAACAGTTCAGAAATATCTGTCCTGAGAAGAGAAGCTGCCAAAGACATTTCCCCTTTTTATCCTCAAGTTCCTAGTCCATCTCAGATGGATTTAGATGAACTTGCTGTCAGCAATTACCTGAGTCTCTGTCACTGACTGTGCTGCCGTTGGGAGTAAAATATGACAGAATTTCAATCATCAGCCTGGAAGAGACAGATTGACCTTCCACATTTAGCAGGAGATCATTGTCTTCTCCGGTGTCTCCCACTACCCAGCAAATACCTGTCCACAGCAACCCCTGCCCACTCCTCCTTTCTGTCATTGTGTCATTCCTGTTTGTGCAGCTGCCCAGAGAACAGGTCACACGACTGATGCAGCTTACAAATAACCATAGGGAAAGATACTGGTTTTAATCCAGATCAATTTTCTGATCTTGTTCCACGCACAACCATCAGTCAGCCCTGCTGGCATAATGGAAAGGGCAGTAGTTAGTAGTCAGGAGAAGACAGCTGTCCAGGGCACTACTAATACCAGAAGGAATGCCTGTCAAATGTTGTCTAGCTGTTCTAACACAGCAGTAAAAAGAGCACCAAGCTAATAGGGCAGGGAGAAATAATGCTGCTGCAACAGAGCGTGTAGTGCCATAAATCCTTTCCTGTGTCTCCTAGGCAGATTCATTATTGCTGTTGTAGCAAACAGCGAAAGTGCTTCTTCTGACCCACTTTTTTATTCCTGGAAGCCTCATGCAAGCCTGTAGCTGGACATAACAAATCAGCTTGGTTGCAGCAACCCCACATACATATTAAGGGTACAATACTTACTTGTAAAAATGCCTTGGGAACTTTTGCCAGATCTTCTACATATTCCTTACAGGTGTAACACAAAAAATTCTGCAACACAGCCAATTGGATGTATCAGAAACAGATGTAATTGCATAGCAATGAAGCAGCAGATTACTGATTTGGGGCACACGACACTTAGGAGGTGAACAGGAACCAGGAATGAGAAAGATTCCAGTTCTTTGAAGTCACCACATTTGGATTAGGATACTGGTTTAATCCAAGCACGAACAAGGACGCTGGGCCCGCTAGATATCGCAGCAATGCGATAGCTGGCTCAACAGCTGGGAAATCAGGGGAACGCGATACTTGTTTCCCTAAAAGCGCGGCTGAAGAAGTGTTTCCTTTCTGGTAAACAGTGTTATCACTTTACCACCAAGGCGCGGAGGGACCGCGGGAGCAGCGCTGACCCGCTCGGTGCGTTCCCCCCGCTCCCCTCCAGCCCTCCCCTCCAGCCCGGCCCCCGCTCACCCGCACGAACACCACGATCGCCTTCCGATCCCCGTACAGGGCCTGGAAGGGGACGCTCCGGCCGTCCCCGTCCAGCACCGGGCAGCGGGCAGCCTCGGCCCGCAGCTCCGCCGGCTCCCCCCGCCCGCAGCCCCGCGCCCGCCCGACCTGCTGCGTGACCGGCAGAGCCCGGGGCCCCGCCATGGCACCGGCAGGGAGGGGAGGGGAGGGGAGGGGAGGGGAGGGGAGGGGAGGGAAGGG